GGAGGGGGTGGGAATATCTAAGGGCGTGATGGATTTCCGTGTTGGCTTGTCAAATGATAATTTAGGAAAATTATGAATATAGAGGAAGGAGGGGAGCGGTGTCCTATGATTTGTGGTCGTTTTCCGATTTCCAGATTTCCCAGCGAATGATAGAATTAGTTTTTAGATAGATAGAATTTATTAATAAAAATTCTCCCGCTAGTTCACACTCTTAATCGCTCATTGGTGTCCCAGCCAACGGCCACTAATCAGTTTTTCTTGATTGGTGCTTTTTGGTGTTTCCCCACCAATGTGGGGAGTGTCATCCCCGAACGATCCAATGTGTTTCTTATCCGTTAGGAATTTGTTTTTGTTAATATTAAATTTTTTTTATTGGTAAGTCGTAAACTTGTCGGCGCCGACAAGGCTGTTTACCAAGGATTTTTTGATAATGAAACATATCTCGGGAGAACGATTGTTTATTTAGAGTTTTTTGTTTGATCGGGTTATTTTTGTTTGATCGTTCGAAGTGCCCGTTTATAGATTAGCAGCCGTTAAATTTTCCTTCCCGAAAGAGAAGAATTTGTGAAGTCCCCCGGACGTAACAAAATAAAGTAAAATATAATAAAATTTATTTTGAATTACACCATCTATATACATATATATTTCAAGTTTGAAAAATTAGAATTTGTCAAATTAAATTATTCAGATTTTAATAATATTTATTGCAATAAAATACGATTTGCGAACCTTAAAAGCAGCATAAATATTACATCCGTTATGTTATTAATTTGTATAGGATAATCTATAACAAAAGACATAAGTATAGTCTTTGTATCATATGTTTCTATCCTCAATAAAACATCGAAAGTCCATGATGAACATATTGTAATAAACAATATAATTAACACCCATTTTATCAAATGTTGCAATCTTTGATATTCTTTAGGTGTATCGAGTTTTTCCAATATATTATCCACAAGATCGAGCTTCCTTATATATGTGTCGAATTTCTAAGGACAGCAACAAAAGAATGTAGAAAAATTTAATAAAGTTTCTTGGATAAGGTACACATAAGACATAAAACAAAACTTGATCTGAATTATACATGTTCTAAATAATGAGAATAAAGATTGGTAGCTTTAATTTGATATTGTGCATTCTATGCTCAACTTCATGTTAGTGATGATAAATGATTATATAAAGAAATTGTACCTCATGTTCATGAATTGTGATAATTGTAGATATTATTGTCACAAACCAATTCATTATTATTATAAAGAGAGTTACAGTCATATTAAATATATTGAACATAGGAAATTGGATTATTATATAATAAAATGCACAAGCATAAGCACTCCACATAATTAATATATACAAAATACTCAGACAAACTCTTGGCTGGTTTAACGGATGTCTAAGAATATCACAACCGAAAATAAAAGCAGTTAAGAAAAGTGGATTTAAAGCTTTTTTTATAGTATCAACCATGATCTAAACTCTTTCAATTCCTTGTACTAACTATTAGAATGGTACAAGTTGACAAGTTCATATCGACATATTCATCACAACAATGGAATAGTATTTGATGATAATGTCGTATTAACATTACTAAATTATTGAGTAATATTATGTATGATAATTAATCTTTATATTCGCACTTAATTTAGAATTGCATTTTGCAAATTTAATATTTTTTTACCTATATGTATGTATGTATGTACACATGAATATAAAATGTAACATGTAAATATATATTTATAAAATAATATCAAAACATTAAAATGCTTAAATAAATTAAAGTTATTTTTTTATAACATTTTGATGTTCATGCACATTTATTTATTGAATTATCATTTTCAATATTATACATATATAAATCATGTTAATACAAAGATATATAATTATTCTATACTTTTCTTAAACATTAGACTTTTAAAGCATTATTAGTTTGTAATATACGTATAATATGTTATACGCAAACATATTATAAAATAGATAAAATTATAAAAATTTTTCTATAAGTCGTTTTATTTAATATTACATTAAACTATTACATGAATCTTAATATATGTATACATATATGTATAAACATCTATCAATTATGAAAATATTGCATGAGTCATTTTAATAAGCTCTTATTTATCAATTTCTTTTTAGATATCGATAGATAATATTGATTGTTGTAATATGCTTAAATATCAACATTATAAATCATTATATTTTATCAAAATATATTAATTCGGTAATGAAATATATTACATAATATTACATAATAATTATGAAAAATTACTAAAAAGGACATTGGCACATAACATCAATAAATTTTTAAATAAATATCCATTATTCATTTAAATTGCTTATTATTTATTGTTTATTAATCATCTCATTATAATCTTATTATAAGTATCTGTGCATTAAAGATTGCAATAATGTAGTAAATTGAAAACTAATATAAAAAATTATTTATACCACAGGTATAATAATATGAATATTTATATAAGAAACTTAGATTTTATATATGTATATTAAATTAAATTTTATATATACATATATTAATCAAATTTTTTACATGGAATAATGAAACAATTTAAATTTTCAATAAATTTTTAATAAATTAATTTTTTGTATTAAAAAGTCATTATTAAAAAAGAGAAAAAAAGAAAAAAGATTAGTCAATTAAAAACTTATGAATTAAGAAAATTCTTATTCAAAATGTAATATATATATATATATATATATATATATATGTGTGTGTGTGTGTATATATATTA